TATTCCTTCTATGTTTATGTTATTTATGGTTAAACATAGAGGAAATTCCACGTTTTCAGTATCAAATGCTGCTGGGAAAACTTCCTGGACAGAAGCCACTGTTGGGGGCGGGTGGGGGTGGGAGGCTGCACCCCTGGGGTAAGTGGAAAGACGGGCCCCAGCACATGTGCTCGCTTCCCGCCGCATGTCTGCGCCCCCACCACCCGAGCGCGCCCTGGGCCGGCTGCCCATGCTGGAGGCGGCGGGTCGTGGCGGGCGCCACCCCCGTCTGGTTCGCTCTCTCTGCAGGGCTGCTCTGCCGCCTTCTCCCGTGAGATGGGACTTGTGTTTTTGACGGATCGTGCCTAGGTGCATGTGTGCCTGGATTAATCGTCTTTGGTATTTAAAAGGTAGATTTTCCTTCTATGATTACGTGTTTGATGGTTAATCATAGAGGAAAATCCACGTTTTCAGTATCAAAAGCTGCCGGGGAACGTTCCTGGACGGAGGCCACAGGCCGGGAGTCAGGCAGGGCGCGCCCGCCAGGGTAAGTGGAAAGGTGGTGGACCGCAGAACATGTGCGTCCTTCCTGCCATATGTCTGCCGACCATCACCTTTAGAAGCCCCCTCTCGCTGAGGAGCCGCCGCAGAGGCCGCCGGACCACCATGACGCGCTTGGCCGTCGCACCTCCATTCTGGATCAAGTGTGTGCCTGGGCTGTCTTTTCCGGAACTCAGTCCTTCTTTGGTATTTAAAAGGTGGATATTCCTTCTATGTTTACGTGATTCATAGATAATCATAGAGGAAAATCCATGTTTTCAGTATCAAATGCAGCTTTGGACATACCTCTGGAAAAAGACTGTGAGGCCAGACCCCGTGCCGGCCCCTCGGCCTGGGGAGGGGAAGGAGACAGGCCCCGGCCACATCTTCATGCCGGCCGTGGCCTGAGCCTGCTCTGTGCTCAGCATCCAGGCCTGGCGAGCAGCCAGCTTGGTGAAAGTGGTCTTGTGGGTCTCGGCCCCAGTGTCCAGGGGTCTCGGCCGCAGTGTCTGGGGGTCTCGGTCCCAGTGTCCAGTGTCTGGGGGTCTCAGCACCAGTGTCCAGGGGTCTCGGCCTCAGTGTCTGGGGGGTCTCAGCCCCAGTGTCCAGTGTCCGAAGGTCTCGTCCCCAGTGTCTGGGGTCTCAGCCTCAGTGTCTGGGGGTCTCGGCCCCAGTGTCCAGGGACTTACTGTTTTCTGTGACTTTCCTTTTTGAAGACTCAGCACAGGTCCGCGCTCTTCTGGATGGACTCCTTCTTTGGTATTTAAAAGGTAGATTCTCCTTCTATGAGTACATTATTTATGATTAATCATAGAGGAAAATCCACGTTTTCAGTATCAAATGCTGCTTGGAAACCTCCGCGGATGTGAAGTCGCCGTCACAGAAGAGATGGTGCCTGCACCCCAGGTGCGGCCGAGACGGCCCTGGGTGGGGGCACATTGGCCGCCCTGCACTGGGGTGTGCTGTGTCCTGGGAGGCCGGCACCGGGTGTTGCTTCACTGTTCTTGAATGGATTTTTCTCTCTGTGTTTCTCATGTTTATGATGTATTTTCTGTAATTATGTATTCTATAACCATAGAGAAAAACTAGGTGGGCCCTGGGGGGTTTCTTAGAGGGATGAAAAGAATGGTCCGTGATTTAGCCCCTCTGTGTCCTCAAGTGTGTTTAAGCGTGCACATGCACATGTGTGCTGCCCGCCAGCTTGCCTGCAGGTGTCCTGCTTATCTCGGGGCCACTCCTGTGGCTGGTGCCAACTCTGTCCCCGTAAGAGAGTGACTCTCCCAACAGTGGCATCATTAGCTGCTTGAGGAGCAGTATCCTTCATGTTTTTTGCATTATTTGCAGCAGACTTACAAGGCCCAGCACTCTCTAAGGAGCAAAGCCTGCTGGGAAGGCTCCTTGCAAAACAGACTGACACAGGGACCCATCCAAGGGCCAGGACAGCCCCAGGGATGAGATGCATAGCTGACCACAGGGCCTGCACCTCTTTCTTATTATTTGTGATTTGGTCCTCTCACTTGCTGTACCCATCAGAGAACCTTCTGGAAGAGATGCTGGCTTTGGAGACAATGTAGTGGTTTTCTTTTCAGAATTGCTGTTCTATTTACAAAGCAGTGCTTTTCTTGGTGGGCTGCTTCATGGAGTGAAGAGTGTCCATTCATGGCAGCCTGGCAGGTATCCCCAGACCATGCCAGCCTGGGATGAGGCCTCCTGGTCAGTGCATCTCCCAGCTAAATAAAAGCAATGGTCAGCAGCAGTTAGGATCGAATTTCACTTGGGGTCATCTGGTCTACCTACCCTCCATGCCTATGCCTAGTCCGTCTATGACTGATTTCTGGGCCTTTTGTCCACCTGAGGGAAGAGGGTGGGTGTGTTGGCACCAGGCCAGAGTAAAGGTTCTGGTGTGTCCAGTGTATCTCCGAAACGACCACTGGGACCATTTGGTCCTGATGCGCTCTGTGTCCATGGTGTCCTCTTGCCATTGTTCACACTGTGCTGGAAAGACCCTGGGTAGCTCATGCCATTATGTCTTTAAATTGGAGCAGGCTGACCTTGGAGATTTCATTTTCCTTTGGGGAATTTTGCACTAGATCAGTGCTTTTGAGAGACATCTTGGGTGGCATGGACACAATGTCAGGTGCAAAAGGGATGCTTGTCTTAGTACAGCTGTAGGGTCTATATTTGGGGGTCTGTATTTGCTCCTCTGCTTTGCTTCATTTCTTTAATGGTGCCTGTCATCAGGTCTCCTAACCCCAGCGGCCAGTGTGTCATCAGGCAGGCTTCCTGGAGGCCATGGCTTTGTGCAGAGGTAGTAGTTCTTCCCCTGGGGCAGTTCTGCAACCATTTTCCATCCACTTATGTCAAGTCATACCAAATTGCCCTATCTCTGGGGAGACATTGCTGTTTTGGGGAGACACCGGGGAGTCCAGCCCATGACAAAGCTGGGTACAGGGTGCAGGGTTCCCTCCATCTCAGGCCCCGCAGGAGGCGGAATCCTCCGGGGAAGATGCGGTGTGGTCCTCACCGGAGCTGCTCTTTGGTACTTGAAGAGAGGATACCCCTTGTATGGTTCACTTTATTAATGGCGAATATACAGGGGGAGACTCTTATTTGCGTATCAAACTGACTGGGAAGGCGCTCGGACCCAGCTCCATCTTCACAGCACAGACACCTATGACACTGAGGTTAGCCATCAGGTATGTCCTGGTTTCCCCAGGTCCAAAGGTGGGCTTCAGCTATGATGCTGGCCCCCCAGGTCCCCCACCTGGGGATCCCCTGGAGGCTGGGTTATGCTGGGCTAGGAGCCCAGGGGGTAGGGACCCAGGGATAGGGGCGGACCTTGGGCGCCTGCTATCTATTGTCTGCAGTTTAATGGTGGTTTGCTTTTTTAAAGATGAATCATGCATGGACCTGCCACTTGCCATCACCAAGTCATGCCCTGGAGGATTCCGGTATAATGTCAAGCTAACAAGAGAGACCTTGATGTCATACCCTTTCAGAAGTAACACACTAGTGACTGGGGCCACAGGGCACTGACTCTATTTATGAAGGTTCCAAGCCTTCATAAACCTCCACTTGTCCATTCTGGAGGACTTCCTGGAGGTGGCATCAGCATGTGGGAAGAGGTTGAGATTCGCTTGCCAGTGCTTGTCTCCAGCTTTTGACCTCTTGCTCTTGTCCCTGGGAGGGACTGTAGGGCTATTTCTCTTTGTGGTTCCAGCTCCTCCTGGCGACAGTGTCCCCACAGGAAGTGCACAGCTCTGAGAAGAGTCGTGGGCACTGCCCCCCAGGGCTCAGGTACGTGGATGTCGGAAGGTCAGAGGGAAGTGCTGGTCCCGATGCTTATCCTCGGGTCCTCTGACCTCCTGCATTCCGTTTATTCTAGGGTGACTGCTGGGAGAAGAGGCTCTGGCAGCCCTTCCCGGGCGCTGTCCTGTGTTGGCAGAGACATTTCTCGGGCCTGGAGGTGCTCACTCTGCACACCCGTGTGTCCCCCGACCCTGAGGCTGGCAGCAGCAGAGGGACGTTGCAGCTCCTTCGAAGGAAGCAGGCGTCCCGTCTGAGAGGTGAGCACCTCTCCAGGGGAAGCCGCATCCCCTGCTCGCTGCCGCCTCAGCCTCTGTTTCATCCACAGGGACCTTCTCTGGGGAGAGGCCTCCACTCAGAACTGCCTTTCGTTACTCTGTGGTATGTGGTGTTTTACTTATTTTCAATATCAGCTCCTCTAAACCTGACTCCTGTGCATCATGCCAGCCTCCAGGAGGGTGGCTGGGAGGGGCTGGTGCTGGGAGTGGGGGGATAGGATGGGATGGTGGCCACTGGGCCTCTGCTTTATCTCCAACGTCAAGTCGCCCAGCCCTGGCCCTGGGTGCTCATGCTTTCTGAGGACTTCTGGAAGCCGTGCCCATGTGGGCCACCCTAGGCCCTCCTGCAGAGACTGGGTGGGTGGCTGTGCATGCCCCCAGCAGCTCCTTTTCAGGAACAAGTCCTGATTGGGAGTGAGTCCTGGGGATGGGGCCAGTTTCAGGGAGGGGCATGGGCATCACCCTCTCCCTGGCTCCACGGGCTGGGAGGCTGACCCGCGGGCACGCACCTGGCCGTGGAGCCTGCCTTTCCCGCCCCTAGGATGAACTCGGGACGCGAGGCGTGAGCGGTAGCGGTGGACCAGCGAGCGTTACTGTTTGGTACTTAAAGCGAGGTTGCCCTTTGTATATTCGGTTCATTGACATGGAATATACAAGGGCAAGCTCTCTGTGAGTATCAAACGTGTCTGGGAGGCTTCTTGGACCCAGCCCACCCCGCGAGGAGGCGGTATGTGTGTGTGCATGACCGTGTGTCTGAGTGCTGTCGGCGAGGCTGGCGGGTGCCGCACAAGCCATTCCGGGCCGGGCCGGGCGCTGGGCCTCTGGGCGGGTGGGTTTGCGGGCTGCGTTGTGTGTGGTCTGGTTCCTAGAAGGTGGCGGGGACGGGGGCGGGTCACGGGGGCCGGCCACGCGCGTGTGAACTGGGCCTGGCCACTAACCCTCGGGTCTAATTCGCCCCCAGGACCGCGCCTGGAGGACGCGCCGGGCACCAAGCGGCCTTTCTTTCCCCGCTAAGCTAACCTTTGGTACTTGGAGAGTGGTTATCCCTGTCCTGTTCGTTTTGCTCATGTCGAATCGTACAGGGTCATCCACTTTTTCAGTATCAAGAGCGCAGACCGTAGCGTCCATTTCTGGGCCTCGGATCCCGCCTCTGGCACTCCCTGACCGAGTGCGCCCGGGATGCCTCGCGGCACCTGCCACCCTGCATGCGGCCGAGAGGTGCGGGCCGACCAGAGACACCGGTGCAGTTCCTGGGCTGCAGCCGCCCAGGCGCCCCGAGACCCCGGGTGGGTGGGTGCGGATGACGCTCCCTCCTGGGACGTGTGGAGCGACACGGAGATTCGACGCTCAGCCCCCTCAGGTATGTGAGTGGATCTTGGCACCCAGAGCTTCACCGGTCACGAGGGGGTGACCGTGGCCCTGCCCAGGATGCTGTGCACACACCGGTGTGCTGCCCGCATCGGGGCGCCCCACGCCTGGCGCCAGTGGAGGAGATGTGTGCTCTCTCTGGTCCATGCACAGCCTGCTGCCCTTGGCCAGCCTCGTCCTGGCCACGGACCTGGAGCTGCTGGTGTTCCTGTCCGTGCTGCTGTTTCATACTTGAGGAGAAATTATCCTTGGTGTGTTCGCTTTATTTGTGATGAATCATACAAGGACAATTTCTTTTTGAGTATCAAATCCTGCCTCGGCGGACTTCCGGGACAGTGACCGGAGCCGTCGAGATTCGGGTGGCAGCCCTGCCCACCTCGTGGAACGGGCACGTGCCAGCGGCTTGTGTGGGGGCACCTGTGCTCTAACCCGACTCCCTCCTGGTGGGGCCCGCTTGGCAGAGGCCCTGTGCTACGCTGGTCTGGGTGACTCGGCATTCGAGGCTCCTCAAACCCTGCGTCTTGGACGTGAAGCCAACCTGCAGGCTGGGCCCCTGATGCCAGTCCCTGCCCCTGCCCCCACCTGAGGATGTGACTGACCCCCTCCCCAAGCATGTACCTACCTCAGCGTGGAGCTGACCCGCTCACACTACTGTCTGGACCACCTGAGAACTTTCTAGAAGGATCACCGACTTCAGAGAAGACACCAACATGCTCCGCTGGATGAACGAGTTCTTTGGTGCTTAAAGAATGGCTGTCCGTAGTATGGTCTCTCTATTCATGGTGATTAATATCGGACAACCATTGTTTGAGCATCCAAATTGGCTTCAGAAGCGTTCTTCGGCACAGTGCCACCTTCAGCAAGAGAGCAAGGGCCCGCCGCCCAGCATGCCTTTGTGGAAGACCCATAATCGCTAGATCAGTGACCCGAATCCAGCCGCTCGCGCCTCTTCCTTGAACTAACACCAGCTTTGGGGTGGAGCTACGAGCTGGGTGTTTGGGGCTGCTTGGAAGATGTTGATAATCACACCGCTGTCTTTCCTTCCCTGTGATTCAGTCTCAGCCCCACGGGACCTGGAGACATGCAAGTCAGGCATTCCTCTAGGCAGCTAGCTGGGGGCCCGCTCCGGGCCCTCCCTACATCTTTGGCATGCACTCGAGCATGGAAGACTTCCTGAAGGAGGTGCCAGCCTCCAGGAGCACAGCCGTCCCTGCCCGCGGCCCCGAGCAGCTGCCCGTTGAATGTCCTGTTTGTTCTTGACGGATGTGGTGTGGCCACCCACCTCATTTGGACCCACTTACCTTGCACAGCACATGCTTGAGGAGTCCGGCACCTCGGTCCCCGGCACCTCTGGGGTGTGTGAGATAGAGACAGAATTGTGGGCAAGAGCAGTGTTTCTCAAACTTTCGAATGCTTCTAAGATTTTCATCACCTAGGGATCTTGTTAAAAGGCAGATTCTGATTCAGGGAGCAAGATTCTGCATTTTTAGCAAGTTCCCAAGTGATGCTAATGCTGCTGTCGGTGGACGACGGTCGACGCGTTCAGCCTGCAGACTAAGTGCGTTCGCTGCGGCGTCTCTGCCCCACCCCCTGGGGTGTCCCGGGCTCGGCGGCACTTTGCTCTGGGGATGGGTGTCTGTGCTGGCCCCATGGGACATACTGCCATGAGGTTGCTCTTCTGTAGGGTGGCGTCAGGCCCAGAGGCCTTCTCGGACTCCAGCCCCGGTGCAGCAGGCCCCAGGGTCTGCCCCTGCAACACGAGCCACGCGCTGGGGCCAGGCCACCGCCCCAGTGGGTGACCAGGCCCTCTCCCTCTGTCACCCGCTCCCAGTCAGTGCGGGTGGAGGAGCCCTTGGGGTGGCCGTCTCATGGTCACAACCGCGTCTCGGGCTCCATCACGTGCCATTTTGTCAGGGGAGGCTTTGTTATGACGGCTTTGCACACCACCCGCTGGGTCCTGCTTGTCGCCCCCTCCGAGGACCCCAAGGGCTGGGCTGTGTCGGGAGACTTTCCAGTGTGGTTCTGACCTTGGGGTTTGGACTTGGTGTCTGGGCCTCCTCGTGTGACAGTTGACGGCGCCCCTGCTTCCTTCACAGGATGCGAGTGCCCAGCCCTGACTGACCCTTGGGATCTGGCACATCCTCAGGAGGAACTTCCAGAGCGGCCAGGCCCAGTGCGGGAGGCCCGTTAGCCTCTTCCTGAGAATCAAACTCTGCACAGAGCTGTGCCCTGCGTGTCGGTGTGACCGGGGCCGTCCTGGGGTGCTGCCTGAGAGGGAGCCGGCACTGGGAAGAGCCAGGGGGGCCTCGGAGTTTTCCCAGTGAAATTAATGTTTTCACATTTTGTACCCACTCACCCGCCTCCCCTCAGTGCCACTCACTTCGGAGTGGGTGTGGGATGCGGGTCAGCTCCAGAGGTGGGCCTGTGTACGTGTCCCTCAGGGTGTCCAGGGAGGCCTGGCCAGGAGCCTGCCCGGGCTGGGCTCTCCCCCACTGAACTCTGCCCCCAGACCTTGGCGGGCAGCCCCTGGAGGCATCGGGCACTTGGGAGAGGTTCCTGCCTCCCTGACGATCCCTCTGGGGGTCTGTTTCGAGTCCCGTCCCACCTGGGATGAGGCCCCTCCCCAGGCATGTAAGTACGTGGCCCCGGCTTCTGTCCCCACATTGACCCCGTCCCCTCACTGCAGGGGCACGTACATGAGGTGGCCCTCCAAGCCGGGTGTCCCATCCGCTGCCTGTCCTGGGGAGACGGGTCTGGCGCCTTTCCTCCGCCTCTCCTGATGGGGACCCCAGCCCTCATCTCTGCTCTCAGCGCTGCCTGGGGGCTCAGGCTGGGACTGGAACACTGGCTCAGGCCCCTCCACCCCATTCTTGAAACCTGACCTGAGGTTCGCTGAGCGGCCTGTGGGGCCCTTTTGGGTGGACTCTTGCTGGGGCCGCCAGCGTCCCTGCGACATCCGCGGTGCCTGTGTGGGGCTCACTTTACTGATGGCTGATTCCTGGCCGCTAACCCCAGACTTCTCTCCACCCTCAGGATGCCTCCCGGAAAGGACAAGAGCGCTGGAGAAGGTGCCGGTGTCCTTGAAAATGGCGACAGATGTGGCGCACGGACCTCATTCTGGCCCCAGAGCATGGTGAGGGCCCCTTCGGGGAGGGGAGCATGCCAGCCCCACATCAAGTCGGGGTGGGGGAGGCATGTGAGTGCTGATGGGTCCCTGGCCCAGAGGCCCTCAGAGCATGACCAGTGAAGAGGCCTCTTCTGCTGCCAGGCCTCCAGTGCCGGCTGTACCCCCTCCCAAGAACAGCTCGGTCCAGGGATGCTGTGTGGATGCGACTGCCTTGGTCTTCATCTCTCAGCTCAGAGGTCCCGGGAAGACCAGGACACCTCTCTTCCTGAGAGGCTGTCGCTGTCGGTGCCAGTGCAGGGGTAGGCAAGGCTAATCCTTGACCCTCACATCCTGCTGCCAGCAGGAGGCAGACCTGAGCAGGTACCACCCAGGGCGGGTCACCCCGCAGTGCCTTTTTGGAGATCACTCCACTTGGGGTCAGTTGTCACAGAGCCCGGGCCCCAACAGGGTGAAGCCATGTGGTCCCCACACAGCAGCATTGAGGCCTTGGCTGCATGGCCTCGGGACCTGTTTGGTGCTGGGTGATGCTGGGGCTGGCCGCGTGTGGCCAGTCACCTCTCAGCTGGTTCTCCAGGACAAAGCCCACCTGGACGTGTGCCCCGAGGACTCTGACGGGGAGCAGAACTGTCCTTGCTGGGCACCAGTGGTCCATCAGAGGACGCATCATGACCCTTGCCCGCTGACCCTTGGTGCCTGCTGACCCAGTTCTTCTCAGGACAGACTCAGGGAGGGGCATGTGCCCCTCAGCCCTGCTGGTGCCTGACCCGGATGAGCCCCCCTCGTCAGGTGTCTGGCTTGGGTCTCTTTGTTCTGAGCCACTGGTGCTGATTTTGCGAGGAGCTTCCTGGGAAGAGCTGGGGGCCCCTCCCCAATGGGGAGGAGAGCTTGGGTTTACAGTAGGCAATGCCCACTGTCCTCCTAACCCCTGCCCTGCTTCATCTTTAGGGGCCAGCTGGAAGCGAGGCCGCGGGGAGACGCCTCGTGGGCGCCAGCCTTCGGTACTTGAGGAGTGGTTATCCCTGCTGTGTTCGCTGTGTTTATGACGAATCATACAGGGACATCCAGTTTTTCAGTATCAAATACTGCTCTGGAGGGCTTCCCGGACAGTGCCCTGGGAGGAGGTCCTGGCTCAGCACCGCCCCCTCGGGTATGTACACACGTCCCAGGCCACCCCTCCCCTCCGTGTCGCTGGCTACGCCCAGGACAGGGTCTGCTCTGTGCAGAGGTGCTCCCAGGGGGCCTGAGCTTCTGGAAGGGGTGTTGGTATCTGCACAGATGATGACCAGTGAGAGCCCCACCCACCCCACCTGCTGCAGGTGAACCACTCCTTCCTTATGGACACCCTGGCGATCATACCAGCGTGAGGGGGAGGTGGTGAAGGGTCTGATTCCCAGCTGGACAGCCTCATGGTGTCTGCGCTTGGGCAGTTTCTTTTCCAGGGTCAGGCCTTTCCTGGGAGGGCTTCCTGGAAGCAATGCCCACCTCGCGGGTGACGTGGCTTGGCTCCTCCTGGTGAACCTGTGTCTGGTGGGTCTCACTGGCGTCCTTCCCTGCGGGTCCAACCTTTACTGCCATTGCTTTGGGGAAGCCTTGCAGCCATGCTCACAACACCTTTCAGTTGGGTTCTCTTGGAGATCAGATACTCTTGTCTTCAGCAGAACCACTGAATTGATCAGTCCATGAGGAATGATTCGGTCATCCTGCAGACAGTGATTAAGTGCCTCTGTACTCTAGATGATTCTAGACCTTAGTTGTTTCCCTTATGCTGGGGCTGGAGCAGTAAATGAGATAAAATCCTGCTCATGTGGACTCACAAGCTGCCAGGGGAGATGGACAGTGATGCTCAGACCAAGAAGCATCGCTTTATCCGTGTGAAGTTTTATGGAGGATAGAAAAGCAGAGTGAGATGCAAGCAGGGGCATTTCTGCTAAATACAGGGGACTGGAAAGGCTCCTCTGGGGAAGGGAAGTGAGACAGCTGGCAGTAGACCAGCTGGCAATCGGGGCTAGGCGGGTCTCAGGGGAGGGTGTGGCGTCTGGCATGTCTGAGGGCGCAGAGAAGGCCAGGAGGCCTGGCAGGGCATGGGGTGGTCATGGAGCTGGTGTGGGAGAGGCCGCCTCAGAGGCTTGGGCACATTGGGATTTTACTGTGACACCCCACGTTCTCCATCAGCCCTGTCTATGTGGTCGGCTCTGCAACCATCACACTGGGGATGGCCATGGTGCGCCTGCCCCCACATCCTCCCTGGAGATCTGGGCTGACGGAAGATGTGGGAGGGCCTTGGGGTGGAACCACAGATCTGTTGGTGAGCCCATCCAGGGTCAGGAGCAAGAAGTAGGGGACTGAGTAGGGGGTGGACCAGAGATTCAGGGTTCTAGGGTGACTGTGGGTAACCAGGGAACTTTGGGAAAAGATGTCATTACTGGCATTGCCAAGATCCATGCTGAGGTAGCGACCTCGGACTGGACCACCGGGAAGTGTGGGGCAAAGGTGGCGGGAGATGAGGGAGTCACAGGGCTAGTTCAGGGGAGCTGGGTGCAGTCAATGTGCAGTCATTGCCACGAAGGAGCACAGGAGGTGTTCGGGGAGGAAGACCACGGCAGGGCCTAGGTGGTGGCAGCCAGGACTGGCAGCTGCTCTGTGAATGAACTGGTGTTTTGAAAGGAAAATGGGCTTGGAAATGGAGATGTAGTGCGAGGCTGGCCTGTGCCTCCTGCCGGCCTTTGCTGTAGGAGAGGGGAGGACAAAGAGCTCTCCAGGTGGAGAGGCCACGAGAGGCTTGGCTGGTGATGGCTGTGGCTGCAGAGGGGTGCGGTGGACTTGTGCAGCCACAGAATGGGGTGAGGGTGGTCTCCTGTTGCCTTGGTCTGAGGATTGGGTTCTTTCAGCAGTGAATCGGAATGGAGCACGGTCCCGCTGGCCACGGTCGTCTGGGAGGAGGTCTGGTGAGTGACATCTGTGGCATCCTTACTGGAATCGCTTCCTGGGTGGTTCATCAGGATGGCGTGGGTGGTGGAGCAGAGGAGGGGACAGAGTGGGGCTCCCAGGAGGCAGAGTTTGGTGGACCTTCCATAGACGCTCCCAGGGTGCCTCAGGGACAAGGAGCGCTCTGGGGTGGCCGTGGGGCTCTCCCCAGAACTCCTTCAGTTCGGTGGCTCCCATAAGCTGTGAAGGAGGTTGGCTACGGAACCTGGGACCTGTGCAAGCTCACGGAGTGAAGCACGAGGAGCGGCCACTGCCTCGCTGCCTGCAGGACGCGGGAGCCCCACTGGAGCTCCAGAGGGGGACTGAGCCAGCACCACTCCCAGGGAGGTGAGTGGGTGGCCCCCAAAGTCCAGTGTGTTCTCCAAACACGTGTCAGCCGTCTCACTAACGCGGTGTCCAATCTGCCCACAGGACGGTGGTTGGAGGCCACGCCTGGAGAAGTGGAAGGGGCCCCTGTCTGTCTTGTCTCTGCCTTTCTGTGGTACTTGAAGAGAAGTTGTTCGTGGTGGATTCGCTTTACTTATGACGAATCATTCATGGACAACGCTTTTTTCAGTACCAAAAGCTGCCTCTGAGGACTTCCTGGACACAGTGGCGACCTTGTGGATGACGTCTCAGCGCTGTTGGCCTCGTGGAGGAGACAGGAAGGGCTGGTCGGCCAGGGACACCGTGTTGACCTAGCTGTAAGTCATTTGACCCCTAGCCTGGACAGTCCACCTTCCCCTGGGCCCTGCCCCCTGGGGGGTGGCTGTGGTTCTGTCACCAGTATCACCCCACAAGATACTCAAGGGGGGGCTCCCTGGGCCCACAAACAACTTCTGGAAGAGACGCTGGTGTCCCCACTGTCCAGGGTGTGTGACTGGTTGACCAGGGCCACTTAGTCACGCACCCTCAGAACCCACCTCACCCACCCAGGAAGACATCAAGGAGGTTCTGCCAACTCTGGGTGAGCAGCAGCAGACTTCTCGTGGCTACTGCATGGGGGACCTGGACAACCTTTATCAGGGAAGTGTGTTTTCTTGAAATGTGGTGCTCCCCCCCACCCTGGGTTGCTCCTTCCTCCCTATCACTTTGAAATATCGCTCCTGGGACCTGACATGGCCTTCTGGGGTGGAACCAGAAGGAGCCTAGCTCTCCCAGGGCATGTGATTGTTTACATTTGTTGGGGTCACTTGGTTCTCTGACCCCCAGCATCCTGTCTCTCCACAGAAGGACCCTACTTTGGAAGCGGCCCTGGTTCTCTGCCCAGCTGCTCCTCACAGCAGCTGAGAGGCTACCAGGAATGGCGTCCCCTTTAGGCCAGGAAGACGAGCTGCATCCCTGTCACCCCATGCTTAGGGTAAGTGCGTCTCGGGTGAGCATGCGGTCACTATGGGAGTATGTCACTCGGCCCACTACCCAACTTTATCCCACCCATTTCTTCCAGGGCTCCGGCAAGGAGCTGCCGCCTTTGCAGGGGAGGCATGGACTTCCTGCCAGAGTTCGCTATGGTGCTTGAAGAGAGGCTGGCCGTGATGAATTCGATTCATCAAAGCGAGTCATACACGGCTCTCCTCTCTTTTAGTGTCAAATTCTGCCTCGGAAGGTTTCCTGGGCCCAGACTCTTTCCGAGGTAGGTGCCCGGATGGCTGAGCCCACAGCAAGCGCTTTCTCGAAGAAGCATGTCACTGGCCACTAACCCCAGCTTCCACGCTGAGCCTGAGTCCACTTTCTGGGCCACTGGCGACGAGGACAAGCCGGAGAGGCTGTGAGATGCTCTGTCTTTAAAGCCATCAACACTGAAATGCATCCTCGGAGGTCAGCTCGAAACATCTTTGATCAGCCAGCTGCTGGAGTCAGGGAGAACAGGAGGCAGGGGGCAGACCCCGTGGCCCCCGGCTCACTAACCCGCAGCAGCCCCACCCATCCAGGATCCTCTTGGTGACTGCTGTGGTTCGTCTGTTCTTGTACATGGGTGTTTCCCGAGCTCTGTGCTTCACTAACAGCGAGAACCTCGCGGCTGATTTCTTTGCATTACTGTCGCCTGCATGGACAGCCTAGCACAGGAGATGGCATCCCTGTGCTCACAAATCTGGGTTGGTGAACCAGGGGACAGCAGGGAGCATGGACTTGACTTGGACACTGAGCCAGCTGGCCCCCTTCTCCTCAGTGACCCATCCACCCTCAGAGGCCACCCCCAAGCTGCCCAGACTTCGCAACCGTGTGGATGTGGGGAAGCCGAGAGCAGTGCCACCTCGCGGTACTTGGAGGGAGGTTGTCCGTGGTGAGTTCGCATTCTTTAATGATGCCCAATACACGGTCGATCTCTTTTCGGTATCACATCTCGTCAGGCATCTTCTTGGAGCTGATGCTGTTTTGGCGGGAACCCACACTCTAGCTGGTTCCGGGCCCACGTACACCAATGTGTGGTTGGTCCTTAAATTGAAAGACAGGTGCCCAGTGCCCATAGCCTTATGCAGCCTGTTTGTGACAGACATTGACAATGATCTGGATTCAAGACCCCAAATGACTAGGGAAAAGGGGGTGCTACGAAGCTCTTGCTGTTTTGTTTTGTAAAAAAGAACATAGCTTTTCCCTTCCTCTCTCCATTTTAAATTGTAGAGGGAGGGATTCTTAGGCTTGTCGGCCAGGTCAGGCAAGAGGATCAGCACTCTTCTGGGCTAGGTGAATGGGGGCTCACCCAATCTGTTGATGGGGAAGCCACACCCCTCACTGAGTGTGAGCCAGGTGGCAGTTCTTTTTCAGTTTCTTGCTGGTAGAAAAGTACCCAAAAAATAACCATGAAGGGCTTTAGAAATTTCAAACTCCTGTCTGATCATCCATGTAAAGAGAAGGTAAATAGACAAAGAGAATGTATTTTGTAAATAATGAGATCACAGTGTACCTAATCTTTTTATTAACAATCTGTTATTTAATATTCTAGCATTTATTGTTAAATACTATTATTATTCATTGAAAATATTCTACAAATATGGGATCAAGCTGCATCTAATCTTTTTTAAAAATGTTGACTATAATTTTGAGCTTACCTAAAGAAGATTGGAAGCATTGTAAATGCTTCTTGCTCTACCAGGAGAGAGTAACTTCTAAAAGAGCCCTATAAAATTAAGAAAACCACTAAATAGTTGGAATCTTTATGTTTTTTTAATTGTTCCCATTTCAAATCTAATTCTGAAATACAAAGAAAATCAACACCCTTACACTTCATCCCACCACCTACATTTATGTCTAGGTAACATAAAATCATAAATATTTGCATTTTGTTCTAAAAATCACAAATCTTGGAGTTATTTAATCATCGCCCTATGCTTAAATGATTCACTTTTGACTGTGAGTTTTTTTCCCCTTAAACTCAGTCTTCTCTGTTCCTGAATTTTAATTTGAATTCATCTTTGATGAGATGAATTGTATCATTATTTATTTTAAAACAGCTCACAGACTCCCCTCAGTCCTTGCACATTGAGAACATGTAGCTCGTGCTTTTATACACAAGGGGCAGCTTAGCTAGGTATAAAAGTCTCGCCCTACTTTCTCCCACTAGAGCTCTGTAGACCCTGCCGCCTCACCCTCCACCCATGTATTTCACTAGCTTTTTTATGTAACTTGTGTGTATCACTCTTACCTAGCTGGACTTTGTTACCTAATGGGTCTTCATATACCTTGTGGGGAAGACTTTGGGGCACTAGATTCTGTGAGGCCATTCATCTCTGGAAATGTGTGACTGTCGCTCTTTATTCAGCTGCCTGTTTGCTTTTGTCCATAGTGTTTTATTTGGCCCTATGCTTTCTGGTTCTTTTGAATTACTTTATTTAGTCCCTTTAAAAATACTTACGATATAATTTTTCTAAACTTTGAGGTATGACACCTCTTTCTTGAGTCTGTTGATTCATGATAGTATTTTTCTTCCTAGATTTGATAACGTTCCATGATGACATAATCATCTATGGGAATGAGGTGTTTCTGTTTTGTTTTGTGACCTGTGCAAAAGAGCTGTAACATGAGGGTTCTGCATTTTGCTTCTGCCTGGCACCCCAAGGCTTTCGCTCTTTGGTACCAGTTTTCCTACTACTTTTCACTTATCTGTTTCTTTATTATTGGCTTAAGTGTGTTGTGTGAGGGCTGGTATAAACCCTCACTACACAGCCTTGCGAGGGTTTGGCCTTATTCTCCCCAGAGCCCAAACAGAAGCAAACCCTGTTGTCATTACACTGGGCCAGCGCAGAGTTTTCTAGGTCCTATTCCACGCCACTCCCTGTGGTCACAGCTGCTGTTCTTGGTGGACATTGTGGTCACATGGCTCCCAGTGCTCTGGGCAGTGCACATCCCTGGGGTTGGCATGGATTGTACCCAGTGCTCTGAACTAAATTCCCTCTTCTCTGGCCTCTGAGGGCTTTTCTTTCTTCATCCTTTACACCTCTGCATTTCTTTGCCCATTGGTTTTGGCTATGGTTGCATCTTTCCTGGTATTCTCTATGTTTGGAGGAGGGGTCTGCTAGCTTTTACTTGATTCTGGCTCAGTCTCTTTCTTTATCAGTTTCTCTGAATCATTATGCCTTCTTGATTGGTAAGGCCAGCTGTTCCTTCATGGATAGGGTGTTTTCTCCTATGATTTCCATGTGTACTTTCCTGTTCTTTGTGCTGGTCTTTTCTGGGATTCAATGGCATTTGTTGTTTATTTCATTATCTCCAGATAATGAAGAATGGAGAAGGAAAAATGAGATCTGGCCATACACCGCCATCATCTTCTGGATGTCTCTGCTGTCATTTGCACTATTTCCTTCTCTACTTAAAGTGAGTCCTACCCTGGTGCCCCCTCCTCAGAGTCTCCTTCTGTCTTGGCAGGCTGCCTCACCAGGTGTCAGCTCCTGGGATGATGTGATGTGCGCACTTTTGGCCAGGTCTGTGCATTCACTTTTAACAATAGAGGGTTTATTTTTTAGATCAGGTATCTACTGGACCATTAACCTGAAATATGAAATTTTTCCTTAGGGAGACTTCTTGGAAGTTATATCCGCCTTTGGTGATGAGGCCACCTTCTGAGGTCAGTACCACCCCACAGAATAATAGATTTTGACTCCCCCCCTCCCCATCATCTTCCTTATCATTGGCATTGCAAAGTCAACAGCTTGGGAATGTACTCCAGCTTTGCAGGGCTTCCAGGACACAAGACTGGTGAGGAAGGGATCACAGCCATCAGCCTTGATGCTAATGTGACATGAGGAAATACCCCACAGGGACCAGAACAGTGAACTCATGCACTTGACCTCTCCAAGCTCAGTCCCTCCTGGGAGTCCTTCTTAGATAACAGGACCAGTGCAGCGAAGATGTTGACGTCTGGGCTACTTCAGGGTCTAGGGCGGGGTGGCTGAACCCAGGGCCTCTGAGTCTTCACCCCTGACCCTCTGGCAGCCAGTCTGCCAACACTCAGCATTCTCTCATCCTAAGGAGGACATCCTGGAGGAGGCCAGCTTTGGAGAAGAGGCATTGGCACCTGGTCAGTGCTAATTTGCGGTGCTTGAAGATAGGTTATCCGTGTTGCCTTCGCTTTATTTGTGACGAATCATACACGGTTCACCTATTTTTCAGTGCCACATCCCACCTGGGGGGCTTGCGGGTGGGAGCTGGGCATCAAAGCCCTGCAGGGTAAACAGGGAGACTTCGCCACAGCTGACCGCAGAGCATGCCCCCTCCCGATGCTGTGTGCCCCCTCCCACCCTCTGTGTGCCACCCATCCATGGGAAGGTTCTGGAGAATCTGGGGGAAGAAGTGAGGCTTTTCTTACCAGAGCCACTTGGCGGTACTTGAAGAGAGGTCTTCCATGATGCATTCGCTTTGTTGTTTGACGAATCATACATGGTTGACCTTTTTTTAAGTGTCAAATTTGGCCTTAAAGCACCCAAAGGCGATGCCAGCCTCAGGGACGGGTGGGGTGCCCACAGACCTGGCAGGCGGCCATGTGGGCGTGAGTGTGACTTCCCATGGATGTGTCCTCGTGTTCACTCTCCTCCGTGGCCAGTGTGTCTGGGTCTGTGCTGAGTCGCCCGCCATGTCCCTGTGGAGGTGGCCGCTTCATGGTAGTACCTACCCCTGCTGCTGTCCCTGCGTGTGACGGCACCTGCTTTGCTGTGGCCCAACCCTCCCCAGTGGCTTCCTGGAAGGAGGCTCATTTCCAGCGAGGCTGGGCAGGGTCTGCACCTGCCAGCCAGCCCGGGGCAGGACCACGGAGCGTGTGCCGTCGGCAGTGTAGCTGCAGGGGCTCACACCCCGTCCCACCCGCCCTTGGGCCCGCAGCCCCGGACACGCCAGAAGCAAGCGTCTTGCTCGGGTACTTGAATGGAGGTTGTCCATGGTGTGTTCATTTTATTTATGATGAGTATTACATGGCCAATCTCCTTTCGGTACTAAATTCTTCTTGGGAAGCCTTCGCAAGGGGGAATCTCAGCGGGCCCTGTCCAGGTAAGGAGCTGTGTCAGCCACCTTGCTCTCGCCCAGTGCAGAGTTCCGGAGGTGATGCTGGCCGCTGGGGGGAATGGTGATTTCTGAGCTGTGGCCCTCCCCTCCTCGCAGGCTCATCGGGGAAGAAAGCGGATTCAGTGAATCCCTTTCATGGCTCATTTCAGGGAAAGGGAATTTGTGTCCCCCGCAGCAGCCTGGAGGGGAGGAGGCGTACACTTGTGGAGCAACGTGTTGCTTTGGCATTGTTCCCCCAAGTGTCAGACCCCTCAGGGTGACTGCTGGGGGGGTGATGGCTGAGGTCCTTGGCAGCAAGAGCTGACGGCCTTGGCAGTGTCTGCGTTCATGCCGGTGCGACATGAGGGCCCCTGGCAGTGTCTGTTGCTACCTGATATCTGCTGGCTGTGGGACTTGGGCAGGTACCATGACTTGCCCCCTCCATTTCTCAGTTGGCCCCTCTGTAAAATGGAGTGCCGCCTCTCCTAGGGGCAGGCACAGAAAATTGATGTGCCGCATTTAGACGGTGCCTCGACACTGGGCAGCGGGACTTGGCCCCTAAGATGCCTGTTATCACTGCGTTGTCCTCACAGCCCAGGTCTGCCTGCTGGCTCCCGCCCCTGGGACACCTGCTCCGGGCCTGCCCGCAACTGCCCTGTCCTCTGGCCCAGGTTGCGCCCTTGAATGAGCACGTGGCTGACATAGTTCTTCTCTGAGGCCTCCTGTAAGAAAGAGCGAAGGAGTCGCACCGGTGCTGTTCCGATGACGTGGTCAGGCCTCCCTGCCCTTGAGCAGAGCCCCCCATCTGCAGGTCAGCCCCGCCCTTGCAGGCTGAAAGCCCCTGCTGAGGTTCCGGCCCTGGGGAGCGTGTTAAACCTCTGCTTCTCTGTGTTAAACCCCCACCAGGGACGTCCAGAGGAGACACCGGCGTTGGGACAGGACCTCCATGTCCCCACCTTGTTCGGTAAGTGACCAGACCCTGGCCCACGCATGGGTCTGCCTCGTGTGCTGTGCTCACCGGCTCACCCCTGACTCCAGCGCCCTGGTCGCGGCGCACGGTGCCTGTCCCACAGCGGCCACGGGGCTCCGTGGAGGTAGTGCCAGCGGTTCTGGAGGGAGGAGGTAGTGTCGACACTGAGTGGGGAGGTGCAGCTCGGCCCTGGAGGTGGCCCGCCTTGCGGAGAGGCACGTGGTGGGGCTCTTGCTGTGCCCATGTTTGATCCTTGAGCAGAGGTTGCCCTTGGTGAATTCGCTTTATTTATGTTGAATCACACAAAGGCAACTTTTGTTTGAGTATCAAATCCTGCCTGGGATGGCTTCCGGGACCCACGGGCAAGTTCAGGGTCTACACCTCTCTCGAGGACCAGGACGGACGGTGTAGCTGTGGCCTGCACCCCCCCTCGTGGACAAGAACAGTGTGGGCCGGAGAGCGCGGGCTTGCGGTCACCAGGCTGTGTCCGTGCCGAATCCGCTCACTTCTCACCTGGCCCCGCTCTCCAGCACCATCCGACCTTTGACCCCCAATCACCCCGACCCCACCGCTGTTTCCCTGAAGATATTTTGAGCATGTGAGTGAGCGTTGACACGGGCCACTTCCCAAGACCGGAGCCTGTCCCTCTCTGTCTCTCTCCGTGCCTCCCACCCGCCTCGTCTCCTCGCCTCCCCGCCTGTCTACCTTGCTGCCAGACAGCGTTCTCCGTTTTCTCTTGGGTTCTGAAGCAAATAGAGCCCATCAGTATCTCATCTCATTTCTGTCAAATAATCGTGATAAAAATAATCAACACAAAATAAAACCGAAAACAAGTGAAATGGCCCAGAGTAAAACGTGTTCAATTGACTACAAATTGGCAGAAGAATTGAATTTTCGTGACGGCACCAGCGGCCGCGCGGGGCCTGGGGACTTGGGCGCCGCAGACATGGCGGCTGCCAGCGAAGCCCAGGGCAGCGGCCGCCCCGCAACGGGGCGCGGGGCAGTGTGCAGAGCACATGGAGGAGCCCGAGCTTCATCCAGATTTTTAAATGGGAAAGAATTGATCCTAATGAAAATGATTTCTGGAAAATAACAAGGGAAATAAAAGAAATGAAAACAGTGCAGCAGCGTAGTCAGAAAAGCTAAACAGGGAATTGGATTAGTTTAATGGAATTCGCTCTGAAAAGCATATTTTTATGAAAATCAATGTTGGTGCAGTTCTTGTTAAGATAGCTGAATTCAGGCGTGTTTGTAGGGGCATGGGGGGTCGGTGGGCAGAGGGACCCCGGGTCCTCCTGCAGCTCCCTCTCTCTGTCCCCACCCCAGAGAGCTGCCTGGACGGCGTGCTGACGTGCGGTCAAGTGTCCTGGGGCGTGTTGTCACCAGCGCATGCATCTTGGTGACCCGCCTCCCTGCTGCTGTTGAACTGCAGGCAGGACAGCTGCGATGGGCTGGGGCGTCCTTCCTCAGACCCCTGTTGGCAGCTCTCAGGCCCCAGGCTGGCCCCGCAGACCTGGTCTTCAGTGCCGCATCACGGGTCGTGAGGCCGAGCCTGTGGGGGAGGTAGGCCTGGACTGGGCGCCTCTGAGAGCAAAGCCATTGCCTGGGAGCTGCCCCGCTGACTTGCTGATTCGTGACCCCATGGTGCAGGAGTCCCTTTCCAGATCCTCCCCTACCACAGAGGGCTTGTGGAAGCCATGCCACCCTTGGGAGGCAGCCAGCACCAGAGCCCTCCCGGGGGGTGCGTGGGCTCAACCCAGGGGTCATGCCCCCAGGTCTCCACGATCTGAGCCATCTGTCCACTCACCGGAGTCCAGCACATTCTCACAAGCACTGCCTGGAGGCAACGCCAGCTCCGGAAAAGTCTCTGAACGGGAGGTCAGTACCCATGGGTCCCGGGAGGTCAGTACTCATGGGTCCCGGGGGCAGCAGTCGTGTTGGTGCTCTCTCTGCGCCAGGCCCCAGGGAGCTGGCCGCTCACTGCTGGTGTCAGGGGAGGGATTCTGCCCTCGGTCCCCCCTCTCACGTCTGCAAAATGGGTGCAGGCCCAGAATCCAGCCTCTGCTTGTGCTGTCCCTCTGCTCTCTGATCCCTGACCCCACTACAGGGAGTACTTGGGCCATGTCAGCTCCAGGGACCCAGGCCTCTGATCACCAGGCTGCCCGCCCGTTTTGGCAAGGGGTCCTCTGAGTCCATTTGCCATTCTGCTCCTTTTATTTTGGGTGTTTTTCTGGCCCGGGTAGGGCATGAAGGCAACCAAATGGCCGGTAGTTTGTGTGTCCAGTTGCCCTGTGAAGGGTTCTGGGGTGGGGCACCTAAGCGGAGCTAGTGGGGCCATGAACTCAGGATAGGGGTGCCCTCTCCAAGGGCAGAACAGGCTCCGTGCCTGGAGGGAAGCCCCTTGGGGCTCTGCCTCTCCATGCGGTCTCAGCAGGCTCTCCAACTTCAGACAGTCCATGGTAGGACCGTGAGGCCCAAGGGGTACATCAGACACCCCTGGGCTCCCACACTAGCTGTTTTTTGAATCCCCGGGTCTCACACTTGCTCCTGGAAGGGTCTCTAGGTGGGCTCCTCCCAGTACGGTGGTGGGCCTCACAGCTGGGGGCCAGTGAGGTGAGCCCCAGCCCTGAATGCCCAACACCCGAGCCTCTCAGGCGGGTCTTCTGCCTACCTCTGCCTTGGTCCAGGTGGCCGAGCCGCCCCGTGGTGCCTGGAAGAGGTTACCCGAGCAGCTTTGCGTCTGGATGACGATTGTTGCTTGGTGAATCCCTTTTCAGTGTAAATTCCACCAGAGGGGCCGTCTCGAGCCACGGGGCCTGGGGAAGGATGTTGGTCTCAGCGCTCTTGGGGTGCAGGACAGGTGGTCGACCAGTTGGAAAGTAATTGTTCCGAATGTACTTCACCTGGTCCACTAGCCGTCCGTGTCCGCGGCACAGGGGCAGGGCAGGGGGCGGGGTGGGCTCTCGCTCAGACCTTCCTGGTGCTTGAAGGGAGATCGACCGTGTTATATTCGCTTTATTGGCTTCGAATAATACATGGTTGATCTTTCCTCAGTATCAAATCTCACCTGGAGCACCTGGAGATGAAGCCCTTGGGGGCGGGGCCGGGGAGGGGGCGCCAGACCCTGGGCGGCAGCGGGCCGCCCCAGGGCCTCTCACCGCTGGTGTCTGTCCTCCTCAGGGTGGCTTCAGAGGCGACCATCGCGGCCACAGCGGCCCCATCGGAGCTGTCCTCACTGTGGGTACCTGAGGAGAGGCTGTCTGTGATGAGTTCGCTTTATTAATGACGAATATAACACAGATGGCCTGTCCTCAGTGCCACCTGCGGCCCCACAGGCCAGGCCTGGAACGGCGCCTCCAGGGTACGTGCATGCAGGCCCGCCGGGCACGCGTCCGCTGCGCTGACCTTGGGGCCAGGTCGTCCTGGAAGAGCTTCCTGGAGGGCGCACGGACTGGCATGGGGGGCTGTCCCAGAAGCGCTCTTGGCTGTGAGACGATGACCTGGGTCCTGTCTGCTTTCTTGCCAGTGCTGAGGAGGCAGCCCTGGTGGGGGGCGTGTTCTGACCATACTGACTATACTGACCACAGCATGCATGCCCCCAGTAGGCACACCCACCTCCCTCTCACCCCAGCATAGCCGGGACCTATGGCTGGGCCCCCCTCCAACCCACCGCGCTGCTTGCGAGGTTGTCTGGGCATGCTTACATCCACGGATGCGCGGAGCACACAGCGAGCTCTCTCCAGTGGCCGGCCTTGCATGCTTCCTGCACACGCCGGGGCTGGGCGGGGGCGAGCACAGGCCTGACCGTGTCCTGCAACCTTGGCGCGGGGTGGGCCGGTCTTGGAGGAAGAAGCGCCCTCCAGTCTGGAG